ATATGTGTGTGTGTGTTATAAACCTTGGAAAAGAATAGTCTTGCACAGCTTTTGTCGTGTAACCACTCTGAATGCATGAATGAATGAATGAAAGAGGCATTTTCTTCTATCGCTTCAGTTTTGCTACATCCAATATGTCGGCAACGTCGATGTATGATTCAGCGCTCAGTGCGGTGTCTACGTATATATGTCTATGCTCGTGATGTCTCAGAGCTACAAGACATTCAGCAGCTGAAAACAACCGGTGTCGCAGTTTGAAAAGCATCAAAACCAAAATGAAAACTAAGACAAGCTAAGAGTTCACATGACACCAGAACTGTAAGTTCTAAGTCCGCAGAACATTAAAAAGCTTTAAATATACAAAAGCCATATATTCAGTGTGTAATAATATGGTCATAGTAAGAATGTACAAAGGTCTACATTCGGTCCGATCAAAGCTTCAGACAAACACAGAATATCAAAGTCAGCACCGTCTGCGTGTCGTTAGCCTGCAGCTAACTCAGGGAGGAACGCTAACGAAGCTAAGGATCAGCAGAGAGTTAAAAACAGCTAGAAGAAATGCTGCAAACAGCCGAAACGCAGCAGAGCCTGAAGCCCAAACACTAAACACAAAGTCCAGCATGCAGGTTCTGTACAAAACACCGGCCCGCAAGGTCCACAAGAACTCTGTCAGAAACTGAATGTTTCATGTGCAGAAGAAACGTCCCCGACTGAGCTGCTAAAGACCAACAGCTTTATCTTAAAGAAACTGAATGATAGATGTTTTTATTTTTAAAGAAACTCCTAAAATAACAATTAGTTTGTATTTTTCATTAAACTCTTTCAAATGAAGACAAGATGAATTTAGATATTTTATTCAAGTTTCTTTTTTTTACCTTTCCTTCATTTCCTTCCTTGAGTCCTTTTTATTTCCTCTCTACTTCTGGCTTCATCTTCATTGTTTCCTCCCTACTTCCTGTTTCCTTCCTACTTCCTGTTTCCTCCCTACTTCCTGTTTCCTCCCTACTTCCCGTTTCCATTCCACAGCTCGTGAACAGAAAAGATTCTTCAGCTAACGAAGCCCGAGGAGGAGCGCAGGCAGCAGAGAGCTCGTTAAGGCGTCTCGTTAGGCATTTAGTGACGGTTTGGGGTGTTTCAGGGTTTGTTTTGTGTGTGTGTGTGTGTGTGTGTGTGTGTGTGGGGGGGGGGAACCATGGTAACCCTTAACGTTGGGGGGTCATGGAAGATCGAGTGAAGAGCAGTGGAAGTTTGTGGAGCTCAGTGTCTGAAGGAAGCAGAGTTTCATCGATGAGTCTCTGATCAGCTTTTAGCCCAACTTCTGTCAGGACCACAGCCTTCACCTGCCAGATGTTCACATCCTGGATTTATCTCAGGACCACAGCCTTCACCTGCCAGATGTTCACATCCTGGATTTATTTACTGTCACGCTGCTGAGCAGAAGCTGAAGATAAACATCTTGTATTTCTGGAGGATGAAACGTGTCCAACAGCTTAAACCTGGAAAAAGCCGAAGGCTGCTGAAGAACGTCTGATTATAAACCTTGGTGAGAAGTTACTGTCCCCGTATGAACACTAGAACTGGGTCAGAACCAGACAGGCAGACAGCAGCTCCTCAGCTGAAGTGAAATGAGATGTTCCACCAACAGGTAAACAAAGTTCTGACCAGTAGAAAATGCTTTCAGGACATCATTACCTGCAGCGTTCCCTCAGTGCAGACTGAACTCAGCCAAAAGGCCTTTTCCTGCTCCTGAAGAACTGAAGAACTGAAGCTGTCACCTTCATGTCTTCAGGGTTCAAACATTTGATAAACATCAAAGCAAATATGTTGTTTTTAGTATTTTACCTGTTTTATATGACGCCCTGATTTTATACACTACTTATATTTTAAATGCATTTTACTGCAGTTTGTTGTTGTTGTTGTTTACTGTTATTGTTGTCAATACCTCCTCTGTGTTCTTTAGTTAAACCAGGTCTCTCTTGTAGACGAGTCCTCGAGGCTCAATGGGACTAACGTGTAGAAATAAAGGTTGAATGAAAAACCAGACACATGCCCAGTAAAAGAACAGTTCTTTTCATTCAACCTTTATTTCTACACGTTAGTCCCATTGAGCCTCGAGGACTCGTCTACAAGAGAGACCTGGTTTAACAAAGAAAGATGACAACAATCATAAAAAAAGCATAAAATGAAAAGTAAATGAAATAAAAACCAAACAAAAACAGCTACATTATAAAGATATAAATATTAAAAACAGGAACATCTGCAGGAACTTATCAGATGTTTGAAGCCACTTAGAGAGGTCAAAGGTCGAGAGCTTCAGATCTTTTTACAAGATATTCCAGGAAACAGGAGCGGAGTAGGAGAAGGTCCTTTAGTCTAGTTCAGTCCTCACTGAGGGGACACTGCAGGTAATGATGTCCTGAGAGCGCACGCTGTAGCTGCACTCACACAGAGACATGTAGGAGGAGATGTATGAAGGCAGCAGACCAGGAAGTGATTTAAAGATGAAGATGTACCAGTGGGAGAGTCTGTGTGAAGTTAATGGTGACCAGTTAACCAGTGGATGTTTTGACAGGTTGTACCCAGAAAATGTTCTCCAAGGAACCAAAGACGTGGTTTCAGCTCACCACCAAGTAACAACAACAGTTCTTCTCATACAAGGAGCAGAGGTCACAAAGGTGCAGGACTTCAAGGACTTGGGGTCCACTGTCCAGGAACATGGGGAGTGTGGTGAAGAGGTGAAGAAGAGAGTCCAGGCAGGATGGAGTGATGGAGAAAAGTTTCAGGAGTGATTTGAGACAAAAGGGTGTCAGCAAAGATCAAAGGAAAAGTTTACAAGACAGTGATGAGACCAGCTATGTTGTATGGTCTGGAGACAGAGACATGGACAAAAAGACAGGAGACAGAACTGGAAGTGTCAGAAATGAAGATGTTGAGGTTCTCCTTAGGAGAGACAAGGATGGAGAAGATCAGGAATGAGATCATCAGAGGTACAGCACAGGTTGAACAACTGGGAGGTAAAGTTAGAGAGGACACACTGAGATGGTTTGGACATGTCCAGAGGAGGGACAGTGGTTTGGACATGTCCAGAGGAGGGACAGTGGGTATATTGGTAGAAGGATGTTAGAAAGCTGCCAGCAAAAAGACAAAGAGGAGATACATGGATGCAGTTAGAGAGGACATGGAGGTAGATGGAGTGAGGACAGAGGATGCAGAGGACAAAGCGAGGACAGGGTGAGATGGAGGAGGACTCTCTGTGGCGACCCCTGAAGAGGGACCAGCTAAAAGAAGAAGAATCAGACATCATGAAGACTGAAGCTCAGATCATTGAACCTTCAAGGACCGTTGAGTTCCTGTCCAACAGGAAGCAGCTGCTCCACACGCCTTTATTCCTGACCCTCTGATGGCTGCAGCAACTCTAAGGGCACTTCTACTTCTGGCCTGCAGGGGGCAGCAAGGAGCTGCTTCAACAACTACTTATCAGAAACAAAGAAGAACCTGGAGTTTAGTCTCTGAGAGCAACAAGAAATGAGACTACAAGTGTTCATTTCATGTGAGCTGAAGATAATCGGTCTAAAAGTGATCATGGACTCAGACGAATCATAGAAATAAAATATTTAGTTTTATTACTTTAGATACTTGACTTTACCTGCAGGGAAGCCTCGTATCTCTGTGTAGAGAAGAGCTTTGTGCTGCTCATCAATATTATTGATCAGTGCTCAGATCAGGACCTGATCAATGTTTTTCATTTGTTCATGGATGAGATGACTGATGTGATGTCACACTTCTGCACATGCTCAGTAACATCCTGAGTGTCGGGAAGCTGCTGGAGGCCGAGGCTAACAGCTTCCACCTGCTTCCAGTGATTGTGCTAAGCTAATCAGCCACATTGATCAGGTTCTGACCACGCCTGTGTGTGACGAGCTGGAGATACGAAGCTTCCAGAAGCTGACTGGTTGGATGAATGAGTGACTGATTGATTGATTGATTGATTGATTGATTGATTGATTGATTGATTGA